GTGATTGTGTGTGGTGTATGTATGTGGTGTGTGTGTGGTATATGTGTGTGTATGTGGTGTATGTATGTGTATGTGGTTGTGTATGGTATATGTGTGTCTATGTGTGTGTGTGTTTGTGATATGTGTAGTGTGTATATGGTTTTGTGTATGTGTGTTCACTCACATGTGTGCATTCTTGCTGTGGCATTTGTTGTGGAGGTCAGAGGTCAAATTGTGGGATTAGTTTTCTCCTTCCACCATGTGGGTCCCAGGGATTAAATTCAGGTTGTCAGGCTTGGTGGCCTGACACTGAGCCACCTTCTTGTTCCCTCTGGGCATTCTATTGCTCTGCCCTCAAAGGACTTTTGGCTCACAGTTGTTGTGCTTGCCATCTGAGCTTATGACTCCTCTTGGCAGGACCTCAGTTCCCCTGGGCTTCCATTCCTCCCACACTCATCTCCTTTGCTGTACTCACACCGGGACCCATGAGCTCTCATTCCAAGCAGTTTCTTGTCAATATTCACTTTCAAATTTATCAACCTCAGCTCACAGTAAGAAGCATAATTTGCACGTGACCTAGAACCCATTTGATGTCTATTGACATATACAAATGTATACATCCGTAGGTTTCGTCACTTTAATCCAAACACACTTATTTTTAAAATCTTTCCCTTAAAACTGTTCTTAAATCTACAATGCTGGGTCTCTCATGCACATCAGGTCATTCCAACAGTCACAGGTGAAACCAAATTGCCACAAATTGAGTTTCAGAACAGCACAGAGGGGCTGCTGGGACCTCAGCTATAAAGTGCTGGCTTGGATTCCTGAGCAGGCATGGAAGAACAGAGGCATGGTAGAATGCCTTGTACTCTGGTGATGGAGAGGTGGAGGTGGGTAGATTGGCTGGCTGTCTAACTAGTAGCCTACTTGGAAAGCTCTGGGCAACAAGGGACCTGTTCTTAGTGAGAAAGGTGGACAACACCCAAGAGGAGACGTCAGAGGGTGCTCTCTGGCCTCCATGAACATGTGAGCAGACACGCATGCACTCACACAGGACATCAGATTTATAGTTCTAGAGGATAGAGGTCTGATGTGGAAATGGCTCCATTCTGAAGCCTTTGGGATCTTTTTCTCTGACTTTTCCAATTTCTTAAGGCCACCGATACCGATACAGTGACTGTATGTCTTTATTCCTGTCTTAGCATCTGTTCCTGGTGTTGCCCCGCCCCTGTGCTTCCCTCCTGATAACAATTCTTGTGGGTCAATAGTAACTATGTTGGGCCATCATAGATACTATGTAGTGCAGGCTGGCCTTGAATTCTTGATGCCCCTTCTTCTGCCTCCATGGGATCACCCAGTATCCATAGCATGTGTTGGATTCACTCTCAGTGGTGTATGTAAGAGTTTGATCCAGTGTGAGTGACATTCATCTACCACCATAATCCCAGATGTCAGATAGTAGTTTTATGGCCCTGGGTGTTCACTGTGCCCTGCCTGTTCCTTCCTCCCTTCCTGTAACTCGTGTCAACGGTGATCTTTCTCTTGTATCCACACTTTAGTCTTTCCCAGGACTTCATATGATTATAATTGCATGGTATATAGTATGTTGCTTTTCAGACTAGTTTTTTTCATTCAGTGATGCAGATTTAAGGTAAGGTGCTCCTGTGTCTTTGTGTGTGTGTGTGTGTGTGTGTGTGTGTGTCTGTGTCTGTGTCTGTGTGTTTTGATAACTCATTTTCAATGACTAGAGCTCCTATGTCTCTAGTCCTTGGTTTTAAAACCAAGTCCATGGGCCCAGTTTTGAAACAGGGACTGGGCTAAATATAATGCAGGTTTTACTGCCCAAGTGTCCTCTTTGTAGTTCAGAGTAAGAGGGCCTGGATGATCTTGCATTCATCTGCTCTGAGCAGACCCAGGATAAAAATGTGGGACAGAGCAAGTGGTTTGGGTGCAGCATATACACACGCGTTTTGTTGGAAATGGTCCCACAGAGGTCAAGCTCCATTTCATGGGAAGAGAACGGGGTTCATAGAGTGGGAGAGGTGCTAACCCAACATGGTCACAATTCCCCTGTTGCTCCTGTGACGATCTGTGCAGCAAGCAGTTAGTATTTGTGACTTTCCTCATTGCTGTGGCCAATGACCAAAAGAGGAGCAATGCCAGGAGGAAGGGTTTATCTTGGCTCATGGTTTGAGGCTAGAGTCCACTATGTCAGGAGTGTGACACAGATGATCACACTGTGTCTGGTCAGGTGGCAAAGAGATGTACTGGGGTCCATCTCACTTTCTCCTTATTTTCCCCTCAGTTTAAAATTTCTTTCTTTGTTGTTTTTTTATTGTTGTTGTTTTGTTTTCTTCTTTGATTTTGTCTTTTTTGGGGGTGGGTGTCTGGTCCTGTGTGAGTTTATGTGCTTGTGCACATTGGTGCATGAATCTGTGTGTGTGCATGGAGCCCCACAGAAGAGGGCATCAGGTGCCCCCTCTACCACGGTCTACTTACTTCTCTGAGGTGGGGACACAGGGCTCACATTTTCTCAGCTACACTGGAAGTCAGCAACACCAGGGATCCTCTGAGCTGAGGCTCCATACATGGGTGCTGGAATCTGTGCTCTGATCCTCACGATGGCATAGCCAGGGCTCAAATCACTGACCTGTTTCCCCAGCCCCTCTGTTTCCACAGTCTGGGACCCAGGCCATGGGATGGTGCTATCTGCATTTAGGGCGGGTCTTTCCTCCTCAGCTGAACCTTTCTGGAAACCTCACAGACAACCTCACAGACAAGATGATCTCAATTAGCATCAAGATTAACGATTGCAGAGCAGTTCTGTACAGGCATCCAGGACCCAGAGCTCTTCTGTCTCAAGACTCTACCATCCTTAGAGCCTTGTCCTGTCCTGTAACTATCAGAGGAGCAAACCATCTTTTGCATAAACAATGAGCCTTAAGCCAATGTCATCCTCTGAGAATTACTTTAAAGTTGCAATTAGCTGGCTACTCAGCAGGATTCTGGGGATGGGGGCTGATGGACCGGAAGTTTTAAGGAGATGCCCAATGGGATCAAGTGAGGGGTCCCTGCCTAGTACAATTCAGAATAAAAAATGCTGGGCCTTCCAAAGTAACCACTCTGATTTCCTGAAGGCAGAGTGTGCCTGGAAGGGAGTTGAAACCCATAAAGAAATCCTGAACTACTGGTGCTTGTCACTAGGTCAGAGGGTCCCTCCCTGCATGCTCTGCAAGGAGATGGTGACCCACACACAGCCTATGAAGTTGAGGGATGGTGGTAGAGAAGCACGAATCAGATTCAAACCGATGCCTGATTTCCTTTTGCTGTTCCTATTAGATGTTGCTTAGGTAGTCTTCCAAAGGAGGAGGAGAAGGAGGAGGAGGAGGAGGAGGAGGAGGAGGAGGAGGAGGAGGAGGAGGAAGGGGACACTATGGCTAGGGCAAGCTTTCCAGTGGGCACTCACAGTCTTCCTCAGAACATATGAATAGAATGACCCAGGCCAGACTTCGTGTAAGCATCCAGAAAGCTTGGATACTATAAGTCAGGAACTATACTTCTGAGAGATTATGAAACCTGAATGGGACTCCCATAGGCGTAGGTTGGCTGTGTGGGAATCAGAGACTTCAGGAACGGCCTTTCCTCCCATAAAACCTCTCTGTCAGTCCGCCCAACAGATCCCACACACACCTCAGCAGAAAGTCCCTGGCTCTGCTCCCAGGAGCCTGGCTGTTGACCTCATGAGGTGTGAGAAGGAGGAAGGGAGATCTACACTCTGGCCAGAACTTACTTCCTCATTTCTGAGAACCAGCCCGAGCTTCAGACATGACAGGTTGTTGGTCCCCAGAGCTTCTCAGAGCTCAGGCCCAGCCTGACTCCTCTTCCCACGGCTTGAGAAGTCATGGGGGGAGGGAGGGAGAGTATACTTCTGTTCCTGTGGCTGATGGAACAGTTTTCAGAATGGGTGGCTGTGTACCTCAGAATCCCCACTCCTGTAGTCCCAGAGGTCTGAAATCAAGGTGTCAGCAAAGCCACGAACCTCAGTTTCTGCTGATGGCTGGCCATCCTTGGCTGCCCTGGCTTATATACACCCGTCACTTGGCTCTTCACGTCATTGTCTTCTGCCTCTTTTCTTTCTTTCTTTCTTTCTTTCTTTCTTTCTTTCTTTCTTTCTTTCTTCCTTCCTTCCTTCCTTCCTTCCTTCCTTTCCTTCCTTCCTCTTTTTTTCTTTCTTCTTTCTCTCTCTCTCTCTCTCTCTCTCTCTCTCTCTCTCTCTCTCTCTCTCTCTCTTTCTTGTCTCCTGATGGGGACACTTACCATATGGCATTAAAGTTTCCCCTGAGCTCAGTATCCCTCCTTTTAACTACTTATAACTGCATTCCTGTTTTCAAATAAAGTCACATTCTGAGCTACAGTAGGAATACAGAGATACATTATTCAGTCCATAACAAAGCTCCACTGTATTTCCCATCACCTCCTTCCCCCGTGCCCCTGAACTTCTTCCCAGTAGGTCTTACGCTATGCAGGCAGCCCTCCCCAGCTTTCCTCTCTGGGGTGAGGCAGGCCCAGGAGTGGTTTCCTGAATTTAATGGCAACCCCTTACTCCAGGAAGGCCTGGAGATTAGAGAACTCAAGTCTTCCTTGGGACGGGTGTCCACACGCCCAGGGACACCCACTCAGCATACTTTACTGCTTTGTAGGCTCTTCCAGATTCCCTGGGCACACGCCCAATCCCTCAGTGTGCTTCCTGAAGGGAATGGAGCCCTCCAAGCCTTGGACCAGGCTATCACAGACTAAGGTACCTGGCCCATGCAAGAAAGCCAGCATCTGACCCCACAGCCCCCTGTTGGCCTCCTTTGGTCACCATCCCCAGATCTTCTGCAGAAGCTACATATGTCCACATCTTCTTAACCCAGCAGCCCCTACCTCAGGGACATCAGCATCTCCTTGCTCTGAAATCTTTGTAGGAATGGGGAACGGGGCTTCCTGGGGCTCCTGTAACCCAGCTGAATATTTTCCAGGTTACTTAACCAAACTCCTGCAAAACCACACCGCCTATGCCTGTGATGGGGACTATTTGAATCTACAGTGCCCTCGGCATTCAACAATAAGTGTCCAGTCGGCATTTTATGGGCAAGATTACCAAATGTGTAGTTCCCAGGAGCCCACCTCCCAGAGGGAAGACAACTTGACCTGTGTGGCATCCACCACTTTGCAGGTATTGCGTTTCGTGGATGTTCTAAGATAATGAAATAGTTTTTCCCCCTCTCTCTTTCCTCTATCTCTGTCCTTCTTTCTCCCCTCTCTTCCCTACATGTATACATATAAATGTGTGTGTGTGTGTGTGTGATTTTACAGTTCATTCAATGCACAAGTCCACGACAACCCCAATTACTATACATCATTAATTTTTGCAGGTGAGCTACTACTTGCTTCTTAAAATGAGTCTTCATCATACAGTACAAATGAAATCCTTATGAGATAAAGCATTCCCTCAGCACACCTTCAATACGAAGTTGGTCACAGGCACACTCTTTACTGTAGTGAAGCAAAGCATAGCCATGTTGGACTTCAACCTCCAGGCCCACATCACTGATAAATGCCCCAGTGGGAAAGGTGGAAACCCCAAGTGTCTTTCTGATACCAGAATTGGAGGTCACAAACTTCCTAAAGAATGGCCCAAGAGACATACATATATGTACAGATACACATACACATGCACATGCACGCGCACGCGCACGCACACATACACATACAGATACACACACACACACACACACACACACACACATACACATATATTGTCTTTTGTGTCTCATGGTTTGCTTCCCTACCTGTAGACAACCATGTTATTCTCATTTGGAGAACATTTTGAGTGGTCTTGGTAGAATTTGTTTTTCTTCTGAAAAGTGCCAGGAAAAACAGCAACAACTTCCTCCTCCTCCTCCTTCTCCTCCTCCTCCTCCTCCTCCTCCTTCTTCTTCTTCTCTTCTTCCTCTTCCTCTTCCTCCTCCTCCTCTTCCTCTTTCTCTTCTCCTCCTCCTTCATCTTCTCCTTTACATTCTCCTCCTTCTTATTCTTCTTCCTCTTCTTTCTTTATTCTCTTCCTCCTACTCTTCTTCCTCTTTACCCCCTCCTCTTCTCTTTCCCCTCTCCTCCCCATCTTTCTTCTTTTCTTCCTCCTTGGGCATATTTGAGGACAAATCAGTACATATTGAGGTCAAATTATTTCACTGGTGGAGTTGGCTTATTTGTGGCATATACATGCAAATTTTTTTCATTATTGGGGATTGGCCAAACCTAGGATCTCCTGCTATAGTCTCAGATCTCCTTTTTTTCATATTTGAGACAGTGGCTTGCTAAGTTGCCCAAGCTAGCTTTGAACTTGCTCTGTAGTCCAGGTAGGCTGTGGACCTCCATCCAGCTGTCTTTGTACAGCTTGGCTTACAGGCCTTTTCCACTAAGACTAACTTTATCCAAGCAATTTATAATCTGTCTCCTCAACTACTTGATTAAGATTACTAGGTCACTGGCCTGGGGTGATTTTAATGCCTCTCAAGTTCTTTGCAACAAATGGTGTTAGAAGTCAGCTTGGTTATGGTCAGCATAGAATATGTACATGAAGGTAAATTTACCAGAAGGTGTAAGGAGACTACTGTATAATTTTTCTTTTCTAACGCCCACAGAAAAAGAAGCAAAAATATCAGATGACACAAATATTTTTCTCATACCACGTATTCAGTCCAAAAACCATAGCACCTGGGCTATTGTGTGATTGGTGAACAACAGAAAAGAATGTGTCTGGCTGACATGTCCCTTGATATGGTTTCTGCACTGTGATGAGTGACAACATGTTTCTTTGGAAGTCAAGCGTAGTGTCTTTGAGTGCCCCACCCTGCCCCACTCCCTCCCTCTGGGCCTTCCTTCCAAGAACCATAGTCCTGCTGACCTGTTCCCCTCCTTCCTCACCCAACCCAAGTGGCCAGGCCCCTCTGCTGCCCTCCAAGGTGCATGAGAGGAGAGCTGGCCAGCATCAGGAGCACAGAAGCACCCGGTTGTTGAAAGTGTGAACTGCTGGCACCGCATCCTTGCTCGAGCCTGGTGCCCGGAGGCAAGAGGAAGTTCATTTAGGCTGACATGTTAGCATCTGTGCACACAATCAGAGGCTTAGTCTGCGGGGAACAGCCCTGCGAAGCTTAGCAAGTTCCTTCTCCCTGGGGCTTCACACTATATTGAGTCAGCCAGTGTCCCAGGGGCAGTGGGTTTAAGATAGGGATAGGTTAACGTCTGCCAAGGTAGCCACTATGGCGCCTCTCTGAGTTTTTCAGTTGGTAACATGGTTTGAGCAGTCTGCTTCAGAGCCTGCTCCAAGGCTGTGATGAAAACACCCGAAGGCTGTGTAGTTCACCAAGACCATTAGCTATGCCAGTGTGTGCCTCATCCAAGAACTGGGCCTCCCACGGGTGTAAAGGGTCTCTCCCCCCCCCCCCATCCCCAGGAGTTTTTTCTGATTGACAATCTATATCTCCTGGGTAGGTGACATGGCAGGACCAACATTCATGGGAATATGTGTTTCTTGAGCTGCTTATAAGAACATGGTAATTCGGGAAAGCTCAGAAATCTACATGGAATTCAGTTCTAAAGTATGCATAGATTCTTGAGAATGGTTCCCTTCCTGGTCTTGGTCTCTCTTTCATCAGAACCAAGGCTAGGACCTGAGTTTATTCTGGGCAGGGCATTATCTGGGAGCCAGAGCACAGAGGAGCAGCAGGAAGTCCTGGATCTTTCCATGAAACAGTGTAGGGTTTTCTGCAAGCTTCCAGAGGAGGGGAGGGAGAAGCTTTTGGACTAAATGAATATCCACTAAAGAAATCATTCAACAACAAGGCCACAGGCTAATGCCCTTGAGTTCGTTAAGGGTGAGAATCAACTTTATTTGGGAGAACAAGTTTGGGTGTTTCAAGCTTTCCGCAAGTTCCTAGGGCTTGTGTAGCCATTCTAATGGTAAGGAGGTATGGCTGTAATTCTGGTCACAATGGCTTACTCAGCTTTGACACTTTAATTGCTATCCTGCTGAACAATCAAATGTGACTTGATTGCACTCACATGCCCTGGGTCCTCTGAGGGACAGCACTTTTTAACTATTTATTTATTTATTTATTTATTTTATGAGTACACTGTCGCTGTCTTTGGACACACCAGAATAGGGCATCCAATCTCATTACGGATGGTTGTAAGCCACCATGTGGTTGCTGGGATTTGAACTCAGGACCTCTGAAAGAGCAGTCAGTGCTCTTAACCGCTGAGCCATCTCTCCAGCCCATGGGACAGCACTTTTAAGAGTCCATCACATTGCCCACTGTAGCTGGATGGGGCTGGCTCTCCCATGGGTCTGGTTCTCTGGACCAAGTCCTTCCTTCTGGATGTTTCTGGGAGATGCTCCACCCCTACCTCATGTGCTTCCATCCAAGACACAGTTCAGGCCAGGCAGGGAAGTCTCACTCCCTCAGGGCCCAGAGCAACCCAGGTTTGGGGTCCAGCAGACACTGTGTGCAGTTTACAAGCCTATCCTTTTCTACCCCTCCTTCCAGAAGGTGCTGGACGAGTGCCAGAACCAGCGGGCCTGCCATCTCCTGGTCAATAGCCGAGTCTTTGGACCTGACCTTTGTCCAGGAAGCAGTAAATACCTCCTGGTCTCCTTTAAATGCCAACCTAGTAAGTAACTTCTGAGGGGGGACAGTGTGTTTGGGATTGGCCCCTGGTTTCACAGACACTCCTGTCCAAAGTCCTCTGCCCATCCAATTCCAAATCCCTTAACGGGAAGATCAGAAAGAGAGAGAGACATACATGCGCACGTATGTCTTACAAATCTTTCAAATGTAAAAGTCTCTCTCAAGGTATAAAACTTGATTGTATTGATCCTGAAAGTATCCACAGAATGGAGGAAACACAAGCATTATGAGGCTTGATTGTCACTGGGCTCAGTGGCGTGGGTTCCACCAGAGCCAGCGCCTCATGAGTATGAAAACTGACTGTCGTCAGTTTTGTGGATATGAGGTGTGCTGGAATAATCTCCGTTGGTTCTTGTGTTTTTCCCCCGTTGACATTTGCCCTCCACAGTGCACAGGGCCTTATGATCAGCCATCTGCAAGCTCTAGGTAATCTCTCTTCATGGAGCGGGTCTCATTTTCAGACACCTGGGATGGGCCTGCAACAAACCCAGGGGATAGGAGACAGGAGACTTGCTTTTCTTTGTTTTAGATTAGCACACAAAATAACGGCATTTTCATGCATTTTTTTGTTGATCTTCTCCCACCACTCTGTCCCCCACCCTCCATCCCCTATTCCCCAATTCCCTGCCCCCTCCACCTTTCTACTCCCAGTCGTTCCATTTCCAACTTCACGTCACATGAATTTTTATTCATTTTCCTTCACTTCCTTGAAATCTCTGTTTCTCTCTTTTAAGGCTCCCTTTTTACTTTCACACACACACACAGACACACGAACATAAAAATTAACAGCAGGACTCTCACACGAGGCCTCTCACACCGTTTTTCTAGCAGGTTTTGCTCGAATAACCTGTTGAAAAGAAATTGTAGCACTAGTATGTAACAGGAAGTCAGGATAGTTTGTTTCTCCGGCTCGGTCTCTGCCCACTCAGCTGTTGTTTTCTGCCTTTGATCTCTGTCCATTCTAAGACACTAGTGGTCGACAACTCAGCTTATTGCCTATTGGTGAGGGTCCCCAGACCCTCTCAGCAGACAGCAGACTTCTCTACAACAATCTCCCAGAAACAGCGGGAATACGATAGAACAGCCCCTTGAAACTATACCTGCAAACCCACTCACAGCCAGACTTGCACATGCACACATTTGTATATTCACAGCATGCAAGAGACTCTCCAATACCTCATTACATACCCACTCACACATATACACGCTGTCTTAGACTCTGTTATACATGCATACTGCACACACAGTCTTACACACTCACTCATACACGATTGTAGAGTGTAAGCAGCCACAAACAGGCCTAGACGTTGAAGAGTGCCTGATGAGCCCTCCTCCCCTCGTCCCCCCTCCCAACTTCCAGCCCAACAATCCCTATCTCAGCCAACAGAGGAGCATCACTTCAGGACTCTGCATCCTTCCTGGGCCTCCTGTAGCTGACTCTGAAAAAGCTAGGCTGTGCCCTTGGTTGCCATTAGATTTGGCATCTTTTTCTCTACCCCCTCGTTCCCAATTCCGTGATGAAAGCAAATATTCCTTTCAAAAAGAGTTGTTCAGACTGCCTGCAACTGGAGAACTGGGTGGTGAAAGTGTGAGTGTTATGGGCTGGAGACACAGTACATGAATGTGTCCCCAGCCTCACACTGTGGTTGACCTTTTTCTAGTCCTAGTACTTACAGGTCCCATCTCTAAATGCCACAGTCATATTAAGTTTCCATCCTCTTATACTCCCCAATGGGGATTGTACACAAGCATGAACTCAGAGGAGATGAACCAGGGCAATGTTTACACCAGGAGGTGCAGGGTAGGTAAAGCCCCACTCTGGCTGCCCCAGGGGGACAGATGAAGCACGGAGGTTGTGTGGCCTGGTCCTTGGCAGTCAGAGTTGTGGAAGGCAGAGTTTTGGAAGGGAGTTTTAGAGGCCTTTTTTCTTCAGCCCTCCAACCTTTGAAATCTCTGGTCCTCCATCTCCTGTGATCCTCGAAGCAACCACAGCTGCACCCGGTGCTGTGATACAGATCGGTCCGTGAGTCCGGTGCTGTGATACAGATCGGTCCGTGAGTCCGGGGCTGTGATACAGATCG